ATGAGCCCAGACCTTTCTATCAAGACGATTTGACTGACAGCGTCCAGAGTCTACTACCGAAATCGCGAGCCGAGAAGATCATTCATTTCGACGACCCGGTGTATTCTGGACAGTTTTCGGACGATGGAAACTTCTTTTTTGCCTGCTCTCAAGACTTCAAAGTACGAATGTACGACACCTCCAGCCCATACAATTGGAAGCATTACAAGACAGTCAGCTACCCATGGGGACAATGGACACTCACAGATGCATCACTAAGTCCCGACAACAAATGGCTCGCGTATACTTCAATCCAGAGTATGGTCTCCATAGCTCCTACGGATCCAAATGACACTGGAGATCCCTATACACTGGATTTAGACAACGGCCCACCACATGGATATCATGGGCGGCGCGGCTTCGGTATCTGGTCTGTCAGGTTCTCAGGCGATGGAAGAGAACTGGTGGCTGGAACGAGCGCGGCCTCAATCGTGGTATATGACATCGAGTCTCGGAGAGTTCTTCACCACGTTCGCGGCCACTCGGATGATGTCAATGCCGTGTGCTTTGCTGACAAGATGTCACCGCACATACTTTATTCGGGATCTGACGATACAACGATCAAGGTCTGGGATCGGAGAAGCATGGGCGATCACCGAGAAGCTGGCGCTTTTGTCGGCCACATCGAAGGCTTGACATACATCGACAGCAAGGGAGATGGACGGTATATTCTCAGTAACGGAAAAGACCAGTCAATGAAACTATGGGATATACGAATGGCCATGTCAACCGATCGATTCAATGAACTTGATCCGTCAGCACATGCAAACACCAGTGGCTTCGATTACCGGGGTGGCATATATGACGACGAGGACTGGGATGTGCACCCCCATGATAATTCGCTTGTGACCTTCCGAGGCCACAAGGTCCTTCGAACTCTTATACGATGTCACTTTTCACCCCCGACCTCCACTAATTCACGATATGTATACTCGGGCAGTACCGATGGCAAGGTATACATTTGGAATATGGATGCAAGCTTGGCTGGAATCATAGATGTTAAGAAAGCTACTATACGCACTCGTCCAATGGATAATCGACACCGCTTCTACCATTTCGATGAACCAGGCAATTGGGGCACTTGTGTCCGCGATGCAAGCTGGCATCCCACTGCCCCTCTCCTTGTTGGTATGTTCCCCGATTTTCGCTCGAAAACATTAGCTAACATCAGCAGCGTCTGCTTGGAATGGATATAACATGGCAAGAGGAACGTGTACGCTACACTCGTATAACGACAACGTGGATGATGAAGGAGAACCACCGATGGGCCAGAGTGTCAACCACTTGCTCAAGGAACAACCTGAGCTATACCAGAACTCAACATATGGGGTGCGTTAGGTCAAGTTTGCAAGAAACAACTTTGGATATATTTTGTACAATTGGTCAGTTTAGCCAGCAGTTTTGTAAAGGATGTCTCTCAACCCCATGCAAACCGCGCCTTAGACGTGAAAGCACATCCTTCTCATCCTCGCGGCGCTCGATCGAATTCCAGCGTAAGAAGTGTGTCGCGTGCCCGCCATAATTTCATTGAACTCCGCCCCAGTGAACGTACTCGCAGCAAGAAAATTGTTGTGATCGCCCTCGCATCCACCCCCGCTGTGCGGGTTTTTGGATTGTCAAGTCGCCACTATCCATAATCTCTTCATCGCCTGATCGTGTGATCGTTTATGCGCTACCGACGAGAGCGTGGTTGAGGGGAATGTGCACTGAGGACATGTTAGAGAACGGTACACCTGAAGGAGATTAGATATCATACCCAGCTTGACAACGTAGCCAACGGCGCCCATGATGAGGAAACCAACGCCGACAGCCTGGCAGAGTCGTAGGAACTCCTTCTGGTCAGCTGTAGAGTGGTGTGTTAGTAGAGGTAAAAGACGCGAGTGCGCAATGAGTCGACATACGCTTGGTGCATCGTCGCACGAATTGAACTCCGTCCTTGACGAACTCGGAGGGAACCTCGAGGATCTCTTGAACCTGGTCGGACATATTGTGTGTGTATGTGGAAAAGAAAGGGGAGTAATTAAAATTAGATGCCGAGAAAGAAGAGATGTAGCTTCGTTGAGTAGAAGAAAAGGCAGAGTCGTCGAATTGAGTCGGAGTCGCGAGGGGTTGAAGAAAGGAGAGTTGAAGTTTAAAGGGGACTACTTTTTGGTGGTGATCCTAGCTACTAAATCTAGTGGACAGCACAGCTCTGGCCTCTCCTCTCATGCGACGACGTGTTAACAATTGACTTATCCAATTTCCAATTCGGGGCAAGGCCAGAGTGGCTTTGATTCGGGCCGAGAGATGACCCGGGGCCTGGACTTGAACTTGCCTGACAGTTACATTTCAGTGGAGCTAGGTGGCCCGTGGGGAAGGAAGGCGCTGTGCCTGTGCCTGTGCCTGCTCTCTTTCCCAGCTTATTTCCCCGGGCCCCAAACGCGCAGGCGCTAGCAGGTAGACGCCAGCTTCCGCGAGTTGCAGTGCTTTGCGAAGCTCTTCCCCAGAAAAGAAAGCGTGAAGCTCTCTTCCTCCTTCCGTCATCCGCTAACCTCTTTTCCTTCATCTTTCTATCGTCGTCTACTCTCATAACAAATTCTTGGTCCAAGTTTCAAAGTGTCTTCACGCTCTGACTACGACAAATTGCTCTTTTACCTGTCTTGTTTGCGACCAAGATTAGAGCGCGCCAGAGCCCGATTTCAATCATCGACCAAAATCGACACTGGAGCACGAGCGTTGGGATCACTAACACACGTAGATCCCTGTAGCTAGGCGATTCTTCGCGAAACGAGCCCGATCGCGATTTGTTTTGATATCGAGGTTTAGGAAAGGAGGACATTGATCGGGCTGACGGCATCCTCTATTCCATTGCTCCCCATCTGTATCTGAGCACTCGCTCGGAATATCGGGAGCTAGCCAGCGAGGATTGCAAGCACAGAGCTTCGTCCTGAATATCGCATCTTTGAGTCAAGAACCATCATATCAGGGGTTGTACCTATAATAGGGCCCCAATCTTGTTACGAGGAGTGTACGTATTGCAAGCTTCCAGTCCAATTCATTTCGCTCGGGTGTACAAGGCTTCTGAGTCTTGCGGGCGGCGTTTGTTAGTGACGGAACGTTCAATGGCTGATAACTTATGTGTAAAGACCAGAGGCCAACTCTTGTATCTCGCAGGCAGCCTAATTATCACATTTGACAATATCCTCATTACTCCCCAGATCTCTGCACGGCATTAACCTGTGCCAAGTGCTTTAAGTCGGTAAAAATGGCTGAAGAAGACTTCGAAATCGATATCTACGGCGATGAGAGCAACGACCAGCAGCAGGATGACCACCGAGGCGATGACAATAACCAGGACCATCACCGAGGTGATGATCGAAGGGATAGCCACGGTGACCAGAACATGGAAGAGTACCACGCCGACAACCACCACCATGCGGGAGATGGCCACAGTTCAAGTCATCATCAAGCACATGGCTCTCAGCAGGGGACGAAGAGGAAACAGGAGGATGATGGTCGACCAGTTGACCAATCTGCGACAACTTCGCTCATGATCTCGGAACTTAACTGGTGGAATACAGATGATGATATTCGAGGTTGGGCCCGAGAAGCCGACTGCGAGGACGAGATTAAGGATATCACCTTCAGCGAACACAAGGTCAATGGCAAAAGCAAGGGGTACGATTTTCTTAGCTCCAAGTGTCGGGACCTAGATGACTGACAGATTCGTAGCCAAGCTTACATCGAGTTCTACTCGCCCCAAGCATCTACTGCCATTAAGCGTCGTATCGAACAGATCATAGCTGAAAGTCAAGGGGCCCAGAAGAAGCTCACCTTGACGTACTGGGCCACTACCAACAATCCCTTCAAGACCCTACCCAAAGATGCCCCTGCCAGAGGCAAGGATCAAAGCCGTGCACCATCCAGCTCATACAGCAATGACAGAGGTGGCGGTCATATCGGCGGTAACTTTGGTGGTGGTTTCCGAGGAGGAAGGGGTGGAGGCTACAACCGTGGTGGTATGAACCAAGGTGGTTACAACCGGAACTTCAACAACAATAGTATGGGCGGCTACAATAACATGGGAGGCGGTTACAATGGGCCCATGGGTGGCGGCGGCGGTGGCGGTAACTTTGGCTTCAACAACCGCGGAGGCATGATGGGAGGGGGTATGCGTGGTGGCCCTGGTGGTATGCGAGGCGGTCGAGGAGGCATGATGGGTATGAACCCCATGGGCGGGAACATGGGCGGGAACATGGGCGGAATGCCTATGGGGATGCCTGGAAATATGGGCATGGGCATGATGGGACCTAACGGTATGCCTGGTAAGTGATCTTATTCGTAGACAGACAAGCCTTTTTGAGAGCAAAGCTAACATACACAGGCTTCCAAGGAATGCCTCCCAACTTCAACCCCGGCTTCGGCTTCAACCAGAATCAGGGAGGCGGCGATTGGGGCAACCCGCATGGAGCAAAGAGACCACGACCAGAGTAGAACCCCGTCGTTGGGCCTATTCCTCCGCGCCAAACGGTCCCAATGGCGCCTCCGAGTACAAACACAAGCACAAGCACAAGCACAAGCACAAGCGTGGACAAAGGGAAGTAGGGACAGCAATGAGAGTCTTATATGTCTGCATTTAATTCCGATCTCTAGGCCAAGGATGAGTGCGTTTTGGGCAGTTTGCGAACCAGCATGAATATGCCATCGAGTGAAAAAGGTTGAAGGATAATGGAAAGCAGTAACTGGGCACGTGTAACATAGATTATGGATATTAAGGTTAGGGCATTGGCGTCAAGAAAGCGTTTTGTTTAAGTTTTGTGAGTCACTGAAGAAGAAGTTACGTACGTGAACTGTGATCTCGTCAAGCAAGACTGGGCTTGGGCATATAAAGAGCATCAAGTCTTCTCCTGTATCAATTTACTTTCCTCATCACACATCCTTATCACTCAATGGACTACCCCGCCCCCAGAACTGACCCGCCCATGGCGATGGACACTGAACAGCCCGTTATATGCATCAGATATCGCGCCGCCTGGCCTTCTCTTCCTCGACTGCCCCTAGACAATTCACGAACCCAACTACCGTCCAGTATCCAGGATCGACAAGGCCAAATCTTTGATAGAGTTGAGAGGATCCTCCAAAAGAACAACATCCTAGAGCCAGAGACTGAAATCGAACTGGTCGTACGCCGAATGAACCCAACTGTCTTGATTAAATCACCATGGAAGCAAGACAGCAAGACAAAGTGGGCACAAGCAGTTGAACAAATCGTGGATGCCATGAAGGAACATTTCCCAAGCGCAATCGAAAGAGGCCTTCACATTGAGATGATAGCGCCGCAAAAGTACGAGACGGTGTACATCGGCGAGGTCGAGGAAGATGTGCCATGGGATGACATTCGAGCTGTTGCGAAGCGCCATCTCGACTCCTCCTACGCAACACGCAACTTTCTAAACACTCTCGCCCTCACTAGAAGAGGCTTCTCCAAGCCTGAAGAAAACCCGATCACCGTGTACATTGGATGCCTTGAAGATTCCGATGAGACCAAGTGGGATGGCATTATTGATGGAATCGAGTCTGAGTTTCGTGCGCGGGGATGGATGGACATTGTTGTTCATATTGAGCACAATTGGTCATTCACTAGGATGACTATTGACTAAAGGATAGGCCTTTGGATCATGGATACATGATATATCAGGAAAAGATACCGGAGAATGTGCAGCCAGCGGGCGTTGGATGGTGGAATCCCACTTGAGTTTCAGCGTCAAGAGAAGGTGGCGGGATAGCACAGCACTGGCCTCGGGGAGCAAGAAAACACAAGACCTTCTCATATAGGGTACCAAATTAAACTCAGTAAAAGATATCCTAAACTCAGTAAAAGATATCCTAAACTTATATAAAGTTACCTAAGTCTTTTAATCACTTAGAATTAAAGTCTTAAGTTTTCTTTCCTTCCCTAAACTGGGTCTAATTCAGCGTTTATTTGATTACTCGAGGACCGCAGAAATGAGATCGGAATGAAGTACGATAGGACTCATTGCCGTTAGGGACAAAATATAGCCCTGCTCTACCCCAAGAACCCAGACTCATTAGTCTCCTTTGCAGCCTCTTCTTCCTGACGTTCGCGAAAAGTCTTCCGCGGCCATACTGAAATATGCTCGTTGCTAAAAGTGGGATCTTCTTCTCTATTTCTAGAGCGTGCAAAGTCCAGGACAGCGCGGCGAAAGGTCATTATTTCGATCTTGTTGGGGATGCTGATGAAGATATCCTTCTTCCATTGGTAGACAAAGATGAGGTAACGGATTGGAAAGGGGGAATCTGCCTCGAGATCGGCTTGGTATTGCTCGAATATGACGTCTCTCCAGGTTTTATTGAGATTTCTAGTTGTCATTTTGAGATGAAATAACGGAAAGTGAATAAGGTTGTGTTAGAAACTGTGAAGTTGTTGATACGGATTGAGGTGGTTGCTTAACTTGGGTTGTTAGTCATGCATCGTACGTCACTTGATCGGCAACAGCAGCCATCAGCTACAAGATCACAGTCAGAAGCCATAAAGCGAGGCTGAGGTGAATATAGAATATAAAGCAATGCATGGGAGGAGAATCTGTGAGTGCATTCAGCCGTTTGAGGCTTTGCATCATCATTCTGATTGTTCTTGCATGCAACCTGCAGCCTTTGATACCTAAATTATCCACCAGAAGGTGAATAGGGGCATCTCAGATCAAACAGAAAAAATCGAAATTCTTTCTTCAGTGCCCCGATCTCTATAGCTCCGCACCTGGCAGGCAGTGTTACTCTGGTGGTAAGTGGAAGGCAGGCATCAATTCGTCTGATCTTCAAATGGAAAGAGCACACCCCCTCCTTCTGCCAACATCAACCCCCAACAACACTCTCTCACCCCTCGCAGAGATGGCTCTCTTTTAGCCAAAACAACATCAGCACTTCTTTCTAGAAATCCCCTCGTCGGTACTGATTCTTGCAGACATGGCTACACGCAAACGCCCCCGTGACGTGGAAGAATATGACAAGTACCAGGGCCTCGTCATCTACGTTGGGAACGTTCATTACGATGCCAGCCCAGCCGACTTTGAACAATTTCTTCACGATCATGGAGTATCATGCACACTTTACTGGCCTGAAGCCGGAGAAAGATCTCATGGCGGCTGGTGTTGGGCTCGCTTCCATCATCATGACGATGCTAGCTACGCGATCAACAATCTTAACGGCGCCATTTTCTGCGGAAGAAAGCTAAGAACAGGACATGTAGCCACCAACTCTGTGAGTCCCTCCTCAAATCATGCATCTCTCAAGATGTAGCGTGCGAATGATCAGAGTGGCTTTGCTAACATCATCCGAAGAAACGTGCTCGCTTTCAAGACGGGCCTTCGTCCTTCCAGGACCGTCCTGAAATCTACGATAACCCATTTCGACGAGAGAACCCCTTTTCGTTCCCTAAAAAGTTCCAGACCTTTAACCCTCACACTTTTTTTCAAGATTACGAGCAGATGAAATACCCAGGCCACTCGTCACATTACTTTCACCGGCCTGCCGAGCATCCTGGTTTTTACCCCTCGACAAACAGCCGACGACCAGCGCCCCCCTTTAGACAGAGTGCCAACTACGGGGTTCAGTACCCGGACTGCTACCCGCCAAAGAAGACGGAGCATCTGGATCACCGTCACATCCCAAAACTGCAGGATGTCTGGGACGCAGACAAACCCTTCCTTAGCACTGCGAACATCTTCGCCAAAGGGATCAAGATATCGGGACTGGCAATCACGGTCAACCACGGACAGACCCCCCCAGATGGGGCAGTAGCTCTTTCCAGGCCTGAGGAATAGGAGTCGCAGGATGGAAGTATGGACATAGAAATGACCGAACCGCGGCCCCAGCTATATTGGCAACCGGGCCGAGTCCTTGGATCGGACCCCCAAGAGAGAGCTTACATCTCTCATTCCGAAAGTTTCGTCAGACCGTTAGATATGAGTATCAGTGTCCTCTCGGCAACGTGCCGGAGTCACATCGTTTCATACAAGCGCCCTCCAGGAGTTGGACTTGGTTGGGGCGACTTTGATCGCTTCTATGAATGGCAGTTACTCGGCCGTAAGGTAAGGACAAGCGATTCATTTGAATTCCTAACAAAATCACTAGCTAATGTCTCATTAGGTTCAAAAGTCGATGGTGCGAGCTCAGAGGTTTCAGCAATCCAACTCTCCCCACATGACCTTCATTTCCGAGTTGACCGGCTGCCTTCATATTGTACGAACAGATTCGACCAAGATTGAATCTCGAAGGAACCTCAAGAGACCCAACTTGTGGCAGAAGCTCAAAAATGGCAAGAACTAAAGAAGAAAATGAGACAGATTGATGTTAGTGGAGGTGATGTTAGTGAAGGTTGAGCGAGGATATTTTGTCAGATGCTGGGATTTGTACATGAAACAATCTTGTCAACAAGATGAAAAGTTTATAATGGAACATGAAGGATGACCTGGAGATAGCTCAAGGCAAGAAGAGTATGAAGAAATAGGCAGCGGATCATGTAGTGGTGTTGGGGTGAAAATAATCGATCATGTGGCCGACTCATAACTAAGTTTCTCGACATACATACATGTGAACAAAATGACTAGCACAACAAAGCTTCTCAACGTGTAGATTACCACCAATCTGTCTGTTTGTTGGTACTTAGCCCACAAGCCTCTTCAAATGATGCCTTCGCGAGCGGCATTTTGAACGGGCCAGTCTTGCCCGCACGTTTCAACGCCCAGCTCTCCTCTCGAAAGTTCTCACATCCCCGGAGCCACTCGGGCTCGATGGCTGTGACTGTCTCCAGGAACTGACAGTTTGTCATGACGAAGGAGTCAAAAACGACCCACCTGTGGTTGATTCCTACAAGGTTGCTTTCAGGAGATAATCCAGCGTGCCAGTTGTGATGAAGAACTCTGTAGCGGTTGTTTCCACTACCAACGTCGCTGAAAGCCACGCGATGACTAAAGGCCCAAGCAAGCGCTTGACGGAGATTGTCATCACATTCAGAGGTCTCGAGTTCGAATCGCTTGGGCTTATCCTTGAATAAGTCGGCAAATGACTTCCTCAGCTTCATGCGAATACGCTTGAATTCTTCAAGGGCACGTATGCTGAGAGAATTGTCCGAGCACCACCCCGATACGTCGACGTAAATCCCATCAGGTCTAAGATCCTCGGCCTCATCTTCCTTCTTCATGAATGCGTCCACTGCGTTGAGCTGCGTGATGTGATCAGAGGTGAAACAGGCAAATCGATGTGCCTGACCTGCAGTGGAATAGGGGCCTTGACCACGGACAAAGATCGGATGCCGTGTGCTTCGAATGGCGGCGATGGTTATCATGTCACTACTGCAGCCGAGCTCATGAGCCTTTTCAAGTGCGTTGAACCATACGGGGTGGACTGGAAGTTTTGAAGCCATCTGGCCCTTGGGAGTAATAGTCCCAGTATCGTCAAGATATCCCCTAATCTTAGTCAGTGCCACAAAGAACGAGATAATGAAAACGGAAGACAGTACATAGCAAGAAGATCTTCGAGAGCGCGAAAGAAGACTTCGGGATCAGGTTTGTCAACAAAATCAAAATTGGCCACATCATCGAATCCCATAGCCTTGATCTGTAGAACCAAGCGAGAGAGGTCGCTTGTGTGAATGGAAGCGGGCGTTGTCGGAAGAAGAATCTCATCGTAGTGCTCCTTCGTGTAAATGCGATAGCATACGCCTGGCTGATTTCGACCAGCGCGACTGGCTCGCTGCTCTGCTGCTGTCCTAGAGATAGGTCCGGTAAAAACTGTCCTGAGGCCAATCCGGGGATTAAAACGCGACTCAATACAGAGTCCAGTGTCTGGATATCATGGTCAGTTTCTCCAGTCTGAATTGAACAATAATTTGACAATGGCCAGCATACCAACGATGTAGACAACACCATCAACCGTCAGATTGGCCTCTGCAATATTCGTCGAGATGATGCACCGACGGCGGGAAGACCGTATGAGGACTCTTTCCTGCTCTGCTTTGGGCAACTGAGAATAAAGGGGCAACACTTCAAGACCCCAGGTTGCCGATCGCAACTGTCCACAAGCATCTTCGATCTCGGCTGTAGACGGCATAAAGACAAGAATATCACCATCCCCAGTAGTCTGATGGATGTGTTGAGCAGTATGAAGAGCTAGACTAGCGTAATCAGGAGTTGGTTCTTGGAGATAACGGATCTCGACAGGGTGCTCTCGGCCGGATAGAGGTAGATGACTGCCCTGACCGAAGTAGTTCAGAAATACACCCACGTCAGGAGTGGCAGACATGATGACTACTTTTAGATCAGGGAAGAGTGGTAAAGCGCGCTTCAATAGTGCTAGAAGTAGGTCTGTCGGGATGGTGCGCTCGTGGGCCTCATCAATGATGACACAACTCTTTAGGGGGTGTTAGAAAGAGGCGAAAGGTGCTGGACACAACACTTACGTATTTGCCGAAAGAACCATTACCTTGAACCAACTGCACAAGCATTCCGTCGGTCATGTAGCTCAAGCGTGTTTTGACTCGGGAAATACGCTTGTCGAAGCGAACCTGATATCCCACTTCTGCACCCACTCTGACATCTAGCTCAGAGGCGACCTTCTCTGCACCTGAAATAGCAGATGGCCGATGGGGCTGTGTACAAGCGATAGGTTTCGAGGAACCAAGTTCATCGAATAGAATGAACTGGGGAATCTGCGTCGTTTTGCCTGAGCCTGTTTCGCCAGATACGATAATCACCTGTGGGAGTTAGTGCCATGCTCTATGATGTGAAGAGTGCAGCTACCTGGTGTTGATGATAAAGATCAAGAAACTCTTGACGCTTGGCTGAAGCTGGAAGTCTCCGACGAATGGTGAGTAACTCAAAATATCTTCTGCTATGAAGATCATTTTCTCGGAGTGGATGAGCTTCACCGTCCTCAAGACGAATACCATCCTCTGCAGTTGAATCACGAAACGACGTGTGATCCATGGTGATACATAAGGTAAGGTAAGAAGGCTTTTGCGAATGATGAAAGAAAAGGGAAGCTGCAATAAAGCTGCAACGAAGCTGTGCAGCTGTGCAACTTTAAGAAGGTAAGTGGTTTGAGTGCAGATCTGAGGCATCCGTACCTTCTCGTGTCGTTCACGAGCCCCACATGATGCCGCTTCGATTACAAGAGGAAGGAGCTACTCTGGCCTGCAAATACAAAAGGGGGGAGGCACTGGCAGGCAGTGCTTGCATCTAGGTGTCGACAGTGTCAAGAATGACAGCTGCCAGCTGCCAGCTGGCAGGTAATCTCGTGCACTCGAAGGTGCAGTCCCCCCTTTTCAAGGCACCGCCTCAGGGGGAATAGGAGCCAAGAGAATGATTGAAAGAG